AGGGAAAGGCTGCAATAAGGTGTGCCCAGAGCGCAGGACCTTGCACTTGGCCTCGCTGAACCTCATGAAGTTCACATGTGCCCACTTCTTGAGCTTGTCCCGGTCCCTCTGGATGGCATCCCGTCCCTCAGGCATGTTACCCGCACCGCTCAGCTTGGAGTTGTCCGCAAACTTGCTGAGGAAGCATTCGATCCTTCGTTGATGAAGATGTTAAACAGTACTGGTCCCAGTACGGACCCCTGAGGGACACCCCTTGTCAAGGGTCCATCTGGGGGTGTCAGCAGTACCCCGAGGTGTGCTGCCTGTCACTGATGAGGGCACAACAAGAGCACTGGGGGCTCTTCTCTCAACCCAGCTGTGTCATCTCTTCCCCACTAGTTCCTCCCTGGATTGCCAGAGATGACCCTTTGGGGGAATTTGCCGTGAAAGAGGTGAAAGCCAGGGTCAACAGCACGGTGTTGCTGGAATGTGAGACCTGGGCTGTGCCCGAGCCGACCATCCAGTGGTACAAGGACAAGCAGGTGAGGTCCTTACTGTGACCAGGGAGGAACTGCTGGGTTTGGGGACCCTCCCAGGTGGATGAAGTGCGAAGATACCCTTTATATGGCTGGCTGGGCTCTATCTCATTCCTGGGTATGTAATTGTCCTCCTGCCCTTCTGTTTCTTCTGTGCCTTGGGGCTGGGGACCCCATGCAGCTCCTGGAAAGCACTGGCCACCTCCAGATCCTCAGCGAGGGGCAGGTCCTTCAGATCAAACCAGCTAGCATCTCAGATTCGGGGCACTACACTTGTGTGGCCACCAATGCTGTGGGTGAAGATGACAGGGACTTCGTTGTGCATGTCCAAGGTGAGCCCTGGGTGGACGGTCAGTGTCCAGAGCAGCGGGTGTCTCGGCAAGAGGAGGGGTCCTTGGTGGGGTCCCTTGTGGGAGCAGAGCAGGAAGAGAGTTTGGATCTGCTGGAAAACAAACATCTCCTTGGCCCCAGTCAGGCCTGGGCAGATGCTCTGGTTGCACCCAGGGGTGCAGGTCCCCATTCCCTGCAGCTGACCACAACCTGTCCCCGCAGTGCCGCCCCTCTTCCAGCAGCAGATTAGCCCCAATGCAGCCCTCGAGATCTTCTACCGGGAGGAAGACCAGGATGGGGAGGTGACGGAGCCCCGGCAGGTTGTCCTTGACCAGCCCACCGCGTTCTACTGCGACACCAGTGCCATCCCACCCCCCCGGCTCACCTGGTACAAGGATGGGGAGCCCCTCTCCCCCAGCCCGGGGGTACTGATACTGCTAGGTAATGGGCACGGACCCTTGCTGGGGGGTTTGGGAGGGTTTCCTGCAGCACTTTGTGGGTTGAGAGCATCTGTAGTACGGAGGAGGTTGGATCACGTTCCCTTGCTGCTGCTGCCAGTGTGCACAGCACCCATGGGACCTGCAGGGTCACTGGGGCTGCATAGGGGTTCCACAGCAAGGTCAGAGGGGACTCTCCAACCCCCTGTGGAGTCATCCCCATCCCCTGTCCTGCACCGCAGGGGGCCGGGTGCTGCAGCTGCCTGCGGTGCGGGAGGAGGATGCGGGCAGGTACACCTGCGAGGCGGCCAACGCAGCAGGATGGGACCGCCTGCACTATGAGCTGGAGGTGCTGAGTGAGTATGGTGCTGGGGCGGGGAGTGGATGGAGGCACCTGGCAGCCCTGTAACCGCCCGTTTCCAGCTGCCCCGGCCATCCACGGGGGCACGGAGGACCTGGCTGAGGAGGTGACGGCCACCATCAATGGTACTATCCGCTTCAAGTGCAAAGCCAGCGGGCACCCGGTGCCCACGGTGTCCTGGCTCTGGAATGACGTCCCCATTGTGGCCGGCCCACGACACCAGCTCCTAGAGGATGGCACAGTCCTGCAGGTCGGTGTCCCCATGGACAGAGTGGCTGTGCCGGGGGGCATATGGGGTGACACTGGGTGAAGGGGGACAGGGCACTCTTCCCTCCCCATGGAGGAGGCTTCCCTGGTCTTGCCAGGTGCCGAGGTCCCCGGGGGAGCCCCAGCAGCTCCCCGGCTCGAGGCAGCCCTCAGTGGGGCTCAGCTCCCCCTTTGCAGGTGGCCGCGGTGGAGGTGGGTGACACCGGCAGCTACACATGCGTGGCCGAGAACCCAGCTGGGTCAGCTGAGAAGCACTTTGCTCTCACTGTGCAGGGTAAGGCATCCCCAGCACCCTTCCCTGGGTTGCTGATTTATCCCCCTCCTCCTCCTCCTCCTCCTCCTCTTCCTCCTCCTACTCTGCCTCTTGTGTTTCTCACACTCGCCCCATGTGAGGAGGTCGAGGTGCCGGCACGCTCGGCGTAGACGAAATGCTCGGAGCGTGTTTGGTCCTGGGGAGAGTTCGGCCTCTGTGGTGACGATTCCCTTTTGGGGTGTGCTGGAGCAGAAGCTCCCTGGATTGCGGGTATGAACCCCGAAAGCATCGATGGTGTCATCAATGGCAGCATCTCGCTGGTGTGCGATGTCCGATCCCACCCTCCTGCGGAGATCACCTGGTACAAGGATGGCCGCGTCCTGCAGCTCAGTCAGGAGGTGACAGTCACCCCAGGTACGTTGGGATGAGCAAGGATGACGGCCTGTCCCCCCAGGCTTGGCACAGCCGCCCACTCTCAGGGGCAGGCTCTAACTCCCCTAATCCGCCCTTCTGGATGCCGCGCATGGACCTTGAGCTCAGATTTTTGGCCGTACCGCGCGCTAACAACTTGCTGCCGAGTGATCCCCTCTGCAGACGGCCAAGGGTTGCATCCTGCAAACTCTGTGCTGCTGCTCCCCAGGAGCTAAGCACCCTTTTCTGCTCTGCACAGTGAGGCTCTGATGCCAGATACCTCTTGCATGGAGCTTGGCCGGCTGCCGGGGGCCGGGTCAGCTTGCTGGTACGGTGGTCCAGACCTGCTCCTGCTCCAGCCTGCCCCAATTCCCTGCTCTCTGCTTCTTCCAGGCTCCCGGGTGCTGCAGCTCCCTCGCCTGCAGCCTTCCAGCTCGGGCACATACACCTGCGTGGCACTGAACGTGGCCGGTCGGGATGAGAAACGCTTCATCCTCACCGTCCACGGTAAGTGGCGAGGGCTTTGCCCCCTGAGTGCCCACCGAGGAGCTGACAGCAAACAGGGGTCTGCATGTTCCTGCTCACGCACCCCATCCCTCCTCCTCTTCCTCAGGGCCCTCAGGCATCCAGGACCTGCAGCAGGAGGTGCTCGATGCTGACGTGGGGACCCCCCTCGTCCTGACCTGCCATGTCACCGGCATGCACGCGCCTGCCCGCACACGGGAGCCCACTGGGTATGTAAACAGGGGGCTGCCACCCCGAGCCTCGCTGCCACCCTGCTTCAAGCAGTCCTGCCTCAGTTTCCCTATTTCTAATCCTGCCGCAAGAGACTCGCAGGGCCTTTCAGGGGAGGAGGCAGAATCCCAGCGGGGAGGGCTGGGGTCAGATGAGGTGCCCGCATTGGCCAAGGCGATGCCTAGTGGTGCCAGCATGGGTGGCATTCCCCAGGTGCCAAACACCTCCCCGTGCCCAGGCAGAACACGAAGGGGCTGGCATTTTCTCTGCACGTTTTTAAGAGGCCTCAGGTTCGTTCCTGAGGCTGAAGCAATGGGATGTGGGCATGAGATGTGATGGAGGGATGTGGGGTGAGCTCTCTGGGTACCAGCTCTTGGGGTACCTCCTGGGAGAGGGGTTTGCCCCCAAACCAGCATCTCTCTTCTCCTGCAAAGCTCCAGCAGCACACAGTGCAAACACCCTCTTCTGCGGAGCCCCGACCTCTGCTTTAATAATGTCCCCAAACCCAGGTCCTGGGGGTGGGAAGCGGGGAGCATGACAAGGTGCCCAGGGAGGGCTTGGCGGAGGAGTGCTGCTGCACCCCCCTTTGCCCTGTCTCCTTGCAGAGAGCAGCCTGGAGTGGGGCCTGGTGTCCGGGGGGGGCCAGCTCCAGCTCAGCCCCCTGCAGCCCTTCCACCAGGGCCGATACACTTGCCTGGCACAGGGCCCGGGCACCGAGACCCGCAAGGACTTCACGGTGCGGGTGCGAGGTAGGGTTTCTCTGAGGTGGTGGGGGTCCCTGAGGGCTCTCCCTTGGAGGGGAGCCTTCCTCCCCCTCCTCTTCCTCAGCCTCCCTCTCTTCTCGGTGCAGTGGCACCCCGGATCGCCAGTGCGGGGGTCCCCAGTGAGCACAGTGTGCTGGAGGGCAGAGGGGTGAGGCTGGAGTGCCGGGCGGAGGGGCAGCCCACCCCCCAGATCTCCTGGCTGAAGGACGGGCAGCCCCTGGGGCTGCAGCCCCCTTCCCACGCCCGGTGAGTTTGGGGTGGGAAGAACAACTCCACGGGCTAGCCATAGCACAACCCCATCTGTGCCTCAGTTTCCCCATGTGCAAAAGAGTGGTGCAAGGCAGGCTGAGCTCTGCTGCTTCTCCCCAGCTTCCCTGCTTGGGCTGGGACATGCTCATCCCAGCTCTCTGCTGAGGAACATCATCCTGGGTGAAGCCCTGGTGTCCTGGCATGGTCACTGTCACCCTGGCATGGTGACTGTCACCCTGGCAGGGTCCCACCTGCTGCCCTGGCCTTGCAGAGCATCCCAAAACCTGCAGCTTGGGTTGCAACCGAGCACAGAGCATCTCTGCCCCATGGGTACGTTAGGGATGGACACATGGGTCACTGCTCCGTCCTCCCCACGCAGGATATCCCCAGACGGCAGCTCCCTGCTCCTCGAGGGGCTCCAAGCCGCCGACTCGGGGGCGTACACCTGCCTGGCCCGAAACAGCGTGGGCGAAGACGCGCGGCTGCACACCCTGAGCGTGCTGGGTGAGTGGGGCCGGGGCCCATGGGGCAGAACCCAGGGCCACCAGTCCCCAACAGCCCTGTCAGCCCCTCTGTCCCCCACCCAGTTCCTCCCACCATCGAGAGAGGTGCCGACGACTCCGAGG